CCTCTATGTAGGCGTTCGAGACTGGCGCAATGGACATCGCACATGGCTCCGAGTTGACAACTTGTACCGTGAGGAATTTACGATTTCTGTGGGAATGAATAACAAAACTTCGCAGCCTCGCCACAGCCACAACAACATGCTTCTTCTACAGCCGCAGCGGACCCATCGCTTCTGTGTGCGCTGGACCCAAAGGGCCTTTGCGGTGGACGTGGATGGCAGGTCGATCGTTGCTTTGAACTTGCGAAACGGTGCGCAAGATATGGCGTCGCCTCTTGCGCAAGTTTTTGTTTGGGTTCATGTGCGGCCCGGTGGCTCTGAGGAAAGGACACGCGTCCGGCCTCTTCCATCGCCTATTCAAAGGAATGCACGTGTGACTTGTGTTCTTTGCCAACGCGAAGAGAGTGTTCTGCTGCCTTGCTGGGCGGTTTGTCCGCTTTGTTCGACGTGGATCTGCAAGGAGCACACTGGGCATGAACCGCAGCGTCGCTGCCGCAACTGCATGATGCAGCTGCAAGACTACGTTGGTGGCGGCGACAACATTTGTCTTGCATCCACTATTGCTGAGTATGTGATATTTATGCGCATTCAGCACCTGCGAGCTCTGATCTTAAGGAACATCCAGGAAATGGTTACAGATCGGGCGCTGTGGTTCTCTGTGCCCGATCCCTTTGATTTGAGCATTGACTCTCGCACATTGATGCACTATGTGGATGCCGTCGAGTTTCAGGCTAGACAAGTGACGTCGCAAGTCGATATCTCCATCCTGCAGGCGAAACCTCGACAACACGCAGAGCACACCTTATCTGATGTCGACCGAGCAGTGAAACGGCTTGGTGCTTGGGCACGTTTGCTTATGGTGCTCATTCCGTACCGAGAAGTCGTATGTTTGCAGCAGATCTGGTCACCCACTGATCCATCAATCTCAAAACGAGCATGGGAGTATCATCTCTACGATATCAGACAATCCGTTGTCTTGCTGGAGACGGAGACGCCGCAAACGGTTTCAGAGTTCTGCGGCACCTCACCAAGACGTTTTGACTTTCTGGCCGGGACATCGATGCCGACCCACGAGCAGTGGCTCGTCCTCAGCGAACGCCGAGCTTGTGCTTTGCTGAAGCGACAGTTACGCGTCGGCATGCAGTCCTCCGATGAGTTTCTTTGCTTGTGGCCTTTAATTCCATTTACCGGCGCTGTCTGGTATGGAATCCCAAGCCGATCTTCGTCGAAGACACAGCCTTCGGCGCAGCTTACCCAGATCCGGAAGCTGATGGTATTTTCAGAAAAGATCCTTCTCTGCGCAGTTTTCTGGAAAGTGGCCCTGCCATTGCCGCCGCGTTGGAACAACAGCATGGTTTTGAGTTTCATTACTCCCGAGAGGCATGCTTTCAGATGATTGAAGCCTATGCCTTGAGTGGACTCACCGAACGAAAGATGAGGGCCGCGTGTGGGCTGCATCCTCCAGAGGACCGACGTCTCAATACCTGTGCGTGCGTTGAACCCGCTGGATTAATGACTTTGTTTTTTTGTTCTTCTCTTTCTCTCTCTCTCTCTCTCTCTTTCTTTCTTTCTTTCTTTCTCTGTATCTATCTCTTTTCTATGCAATTGTTTTTTTCTTATCTTTCTTTTCAGATTGTTTTTTTAGATTTGCTGTATTTTACGGATGTGTACAAGGTGTGTGATTCATCGCACTAATTATGTTGTCAGGGTTTGCATGTGCAGGAGCCCACAGTGGAGAACCAGCAGAACAATCTCGTGGCGATTCTGAGGCATAACGCAGAGAACGATGAGGCCGAGATTCCGCAAACACGTCTTGACAAGGCAAATGCCGCAGTTGTGAAATATCTCATGGAAATCAAAAAGCCAACGCTGTCCAAGCTTTGGTGGCAACGCTTTGCCAAAGCCAAGATCGGTACTGACAAGCAAGCATTCGACGACCTGGTGAAGGAAAACCTTTTTCTTCCAGTGGATGCAAAACAGGAGCCAGAGAATTTCATTCCCACCATACCTTGTCAGAAGGCGCTGGAAGATTTATTTGTTGTCGGCTACGATTCCGAAACAACAGTGATGCGTGAACGTCTCAATGCAAAAAAACTCAGAAAGCAATCCTGCACGAGCTACCAACGCCGAGCTGCTACAACATTTCTTTTCGGAAGTGCTAGCAAGGTTGGAATCTGGCCGAGGTCGTCGGTCTACGCAGCATATGGAATCTATTGCGCGATGGCGGAGCGCGTTGGAAAAACTACAGAAGCATGAAGAATGTGCTCGCGAATTGTTGGAAGCGCTGGAGGCGAAACTTTCCCATGCAAGTCAACAGCCTTGTACGCAGCTTCCGGCAACATCGCCAAAAGAGCAGCCTGTGCGTCGAGCTCTAAGGAAGAAGTCTCCTGCTGTACCATCTGCAGGCCAGGCGGCCTCTGCTTCTTCAAGTGGTGCTCGAGGTGGAAATCCTTTCGATGGAACCGACGACGACGGCTTTGTCAGCCAAGATGTCACGTACAACTACAAATTGTCGGATGTGCGTACTCGCAGATACGCTAGTTTTCGTTCTGTGCAGAATTTGGGCACTGCGTGGCAAGCGACGGCTTTGGATCAAACAGTAGACCTTGACATCGAGAACTGCTCCTTCACGTTGTTGTTACAAATCTTAGACAACTTGAAACCCAGGCACGAGTGTTGGTCAGCAGTCAGACAGACATTGTATCTGAGTGTGCAACATCACGAAGAACAGTCATCGAGGAAAAGCTGAAGCTGTCTTTGTCGGAAGGAAAGCATCTTTTACAAAAAGTACTCAACGGAGGCGCGCCGCCGGATAAACTTGCGAAGAATTTGTTCATCGAAGAATTGCAACGAGCAAGTCTTTTCTGCCGCTGGGTCGCTGCGACGATGCTGAAGAACATAGCTTGGGAGGACTTGGTGCGCTTGAAGGACAAACCAGATATGTCGGTGTTGACATACTTTTGGAACATCGCGGAGGATCTGGTTATCGAGTCCTGGATCCGGAGGATGGAACCGCTGCAAAGCAAGCACATGTCATTGCACTTCGATGGCATCAGAGTGGATCGCGACATCACGCAGCCAGATGTAGAAGTTTTCTGCGCGAGTTGCAGCGATGCGATTTTCAAAGACACTGGCCTGTCTGTCCGTATTCGTGTGAAAGAGCACTACACCTTCTATGGCTTGTTGCAGCAAGTGGCGAACAGGAAACCAGTCGAGTGTCCTGAAAGTCTTCGTGCGAAGGGAAATTGTATATTGGCGGCTCTGCATCATCTTGGTTTGCCAGAGCAGGCGTCGACTATGGCATCGCTAACAGAGGGGCCAGAACACATGTTTTTTCAACGACGCCGCCAACGAACGTATGCACAGGTTGCCGAGAAAGCGAACATCAAAATCTTTCCTCGATTTCCAACTGGTGATTTACAATCAGGCCAGAAGATTTTTCTTCATCTGGCCACCAAAGGCAACCCGCACTGCATTGCTTTTGAAGTTTGTTCAAGACATGAAGTATGCGTAACTGACATGACTGTCAGCTACACTTTTCCTATCGAGGATCTGTTGCGCATGCTGTTAGAAGCAGCTGATCGCAAATTCATTATCTTCTTCCACCTCAACCGAAAACCTGAAGATGACCGCGATGCACAGGACAGCGAGTATGACCTTCTGCTGGAAACGCTGGCAGGTGGACACTCAGACGATGAGTTTGTTAAGGACCTGGCTTTGCCTGTCGTGGAGGAGGAGGGGCAAGATGACGACATGTTAGAGGATGACGAGGGCGTGACGAGAGTGGGTGACAAGCTTCTAGGGTTTCTTCGTGATGAGGTTGCTGTTTTTCTGAACAAGAAACCTGCAGAAGTTGCTGATGAGGTTCGAAAGAATGTGTCCGCTTCGTTGCTGGGACAAGACTCGACACAGTCGTGTTACGGCGCATGTCCGAGAATACCATTCGGCAAGGAAGCAATTCGTGGCGAGTGGCACGAAGCAACTAAAGGTTTTCATCGCACTCCACGATGACGATCAGTGTCGGCGGCAGCCTGCCGGCAATTACTTACGCCGTAGCGCCACTCTGTTGTCCCAATCCCTGGACGACACAATTTCAACAAAGCATATACTCCTGGACAAGAAGATAAGGCTTGTTTTGACGCACGATGGACCGCAATACTGGTCTCTACAGGCTGTGCAGCAAGGGGAATTGCGTCGCGTGCGCAATCTGTACTACACACGGCCCTTCGCTCAACTTTGCTTTCGAGAAGTATTAATGTGCAGCGCCAAGGCAAGACACATACACACAACCAATGCTAAGTAGCTGTGTGCGGTGTAAACCAGTGCTTGTTTTTGCTGTAGGACTTTGCCTCTTCTAAGTATATGTGTGCGGTGTAAACCACTGGCAAAGTCTTCATCTCTGCAGGTCTACGCTCTTCATGCTCGACTGTTGGCAATCTTTCCGGGTGCGACCAGCAGCCTTTTACCGCGCCACGCAAATCACTGGTGGCCAATGATCGAGGACATCTTCCTGTCGGAACGCGTCCGTAGCTTCGAACAGGAACTCGAGAACGGGCTGGTGCAGCATCAGGAGTTCGAATTCATCAGCATGGATGCGACGCTATACGATGCTGCTTGCCCGTTATGGGACAGGCACATCCGCGAGCAAGCCGAGAAGTGAAAGCACAAGCAGTTTTTCATGGAGAGAGCGCACTGACCCGAGCTTCTTGGCTGCGTGAAGTATTAAATTGGCCATTGTTCTGTTGCATTAGTGAGAATTGAGGTAGTTACTTGCAGAGGGCGCACCAATGCGGTGCTCATGTTGGCTGCGACCGCGACGGAGGAAACAGAGATCCTGGTTCAGGCTATGGCCGAGAAACTACCAGCAGCTGGGCTTCAACAAGTGCGATGTGTGACTGTAGACAATCCTTCCGGCAAACTGTGGAAAGGCCTGCGTTGCATTTGCCCAAATTTGCAGATTCTGTGCCTCGACCCTGTACATCTTGCCATGACATGCGAGTATGCATCCAGTCGGAAGCGTACGGCAATGTCCAAGACCTTGCGTGCAATATTGCAGAAGTTGTCCGTGCGGAGCTCACGCTGCACTGAAAACACGTGGGGCACTATTTTCAGAGGCGATAACGCCAAGCCTCTGACACATGAGGAGCAGAAGGCTCGCTCGCAAATTGAGGATCGCAGCATGCCGCTAAAGAAAGCTACCGCTGTGCTTGAACATTTGAATGCGTCCGTTCCGTTTTTCGAACGGGCTGAGTGGTCTAAGTCGTTGGCTGCTTTGGCAGCTGTGTATCGGCAAGACATGGACCGCGTGGTGCCGGGCCCGAACCGGAAGGTGTACGAACTTCTCCACTCGGCTGCCGCTGCAGAGCGGACGGAGTGGTATTTTAACAACCTTCGCGCCCGACACGCGATTGCCACCAGCAGACTAAGTCTGCTTCCGGTCGGCGCAACTTCTAATGAATCATTGCACCGTGAAATCAACAATTGTTTTTAGAGAAACGCAAAAAACTCACAAGACGACCTTGTCCTTAAAGCTCAAGATTCTGCAGCTTTCGAAGCAGATGACGCACAATGCTGCGCTGTACCATGAAACGACTCGGCAGATGGCCGAAGCCGAAGTCTTAGCTCGCACATCGTCCAGGGAGATGTGGAGCCTAGGGCAGTGGCACGCATGGTGCGACGAGCTTCAGGATGACGCTGGGATCAAGAAGGCGTCTTTGCATTTTCATCCACAGAGGGAAAACGAGCGTGACACGGTTCGAGCAAGGGTCTTCAAAAGACCGGCAGCTAATATGGCTGATGCTCCACCAACGAGCGGAGAACGCCGCACACTTTGGACCGGCAGGACAGCCTTCGTCGAGCAGGTGTCCGTGGCCGAAAACCGGCTACGTAAGTTGCTCCACGAATCAACGTAGAAGATTGGGTGCACTCTATGATTAGCTTCTAGCCGGATTTCTGCTGTTGCTTGTTGTGGGCGTGCTCAAGACATGAGACGATGTAAACGATGCCGGTAATGATAATCATGCGGATGCAAAGCATCCACTTGACGAGTTTGTGATTTGTGTCTTTGGAGAAACAGATGCGAGTGATGTGCTTGCGAGATATGTTGCGAGATCCACTCTTCAGGCTTTAAATGTAAGTTTTGTGTGGAGTTCATTTCGTGGCCGACGAGAAATCTGGGATTTCTTTATAAAACCGAGCGCTACAAACACTGAATAGCAACTTCGTAGGTGCCTATGGAGTACCTACCCATATAGATTCTTAAAGTTCTGAAGTATTCAGCAGCTTTGTATGAAAATGTTTCAAGACGTTGCAACCTCCATACAACGGAAAACTCCATACAACTGCTGATTTAAAATCTTTTTGAGTGTGAAGGCTCGAAACATTGAACAGCAACTTCCTATGGAGGAGCCATATAGATTGTTAAAGTTTTGGAGTATTCAGTAGTTTTATATGAAAATCTTTGGAAGAAATTGAAAACACCATACAACTGCTGGTTTAAACTTTTTTTAAGTGTGAAGGCTCGAAACATTGAACAGCAACTTCCTATGGAGGAGCTATATAGATTGTTAAAGTTTTGGAGTATTCAATAGTTTCATATGAAAATCTTGGGAAGAGATTGAAAACTCCATACAACTGCTGGTTTAAAATCTTTTTAAGTGTGAAGGCTCGAAACATTGAACAGCAACTTCCTATGGAGGAGCCATATAGATTGTTAAAGTTTTGGAGTATTCAGTAGTTTTATATGAAAATCTTTGGAAGAGATTGGAAACTCCATACAACTGCTGGTTTAAAATTTTCTTAAGTCTGAAAGCTCGAAACCATGACTTACAACATCGTATCGTTTTAGCTACTAAGTGCTAATTGTGTATGGCAGAAGGTAGGTGTGTAGCTCTTGAGTTGCACGCCTGCGGTCGGTCGTACGACGCGGTGTTGCCTAGGGACTGGGAGCGTGCGAATGGACTCGCGAAGCATAAAACAGTTGCGTTGCGGTGTTTGCCACTTTGTGCAAGACCAGTCAGCGTGCTTCACAATTGGGGCTGTTCTGGGAAACGCTCCCCCAGGTTGGACGGCCCATCGCGGTCCGTGGCCGGACGCGCGGGTCTCGGCCCACGGCTGCGGCCGTTCTAGGCGCAGCGTGTTGCTGCGCCGTTGGTCCTGTGCCTCATGTCGGCCAGCCGGAGGGTGTTACCCTTCTCGACTGCATCGAGACTTGTGCGGCCCCTTTACCCGGGCGTATGAGTTTCGTCCAGAGGTTGAAGTGGCGGAAAGATATTGCTACCAGACCGCTTAAGAGCCGCGACGGGCGGTTCACTACCTCTGAGGAAGAGGTCGCCCTTTGGCGCAGCGTCATGGAGTTCCTCCATGAGATGCAGGAAGGAGAAGAGGAGGAGGAAGAGGAGGAAGACGAGGAGGATCTTCCTCCCTCCATGGCACCGTCGATGGAGACGAGGGTCCAGAGCTTATTCCTGCTGCCGGGGATATGGTTCGGCGGAGGCGGCTGTCCCTACGCGGGCGGCTCCCGCCGCCGCGACGGACGCGCCCGCTACCGCAGCCACTGGCCACTGGGCTGACTGCGGCCGGTGACGGCGCGCTGGCTGTGGTTGCCGTCCCGGCTGACCGCCGTCGTGCGCTTCGCGCGCATGGCGTTGCGATTTCGTCGGGTGAGCGTGACCTGCTCACGACGAAAGCCTCGCGCCTTGCGGAGGAGTTCGGCCAGGTCGGGGGCGACTGGCACCCGACCAGAGTGGTCAGGCGCTTGCGGGCCAGGTTTTCGGTCGCAGCGCTCATGGAAGGGGATGACGGCGATGCCGCCGAAATTGAGAAGGAGATCCAAACGATTGGTGAGCTCATCCTTGCCGCGGCAGGCAGAGCGCCAGCGCCGACAAGGTTTGGAGCTCTCATGACGTTCCCCCGGGAGCGGCCGGCTCACCGTCGCCGCCGCTTCCCCCGCCGGCTGTTCCCGCCAGCTGCCAAAGCGCCACAGTTGGGGCCGGCGGCGGCCAAGTCTGGCGCCCCGACTATAAGGAGGCCGTTTCCGCGGCCTGTTTGGGCGCGGACGGGTTGACTCGGGGCGACTCCCGGCGATGGAGATGGAGATCGAGGCCCTTCAGCGCGGCTCGGACGGAGGTGCGTCCGTGGGCGAGAGGCCTTGAAGGAGGCTCTGTCGGCCCGCGGTGGCCAGAACTCCATCACGTCAGTGAAGACGGACAACGTCTGGCCGACGTTGACGGATGATAACAGCGACACCATGCAAGGACGCGGTGCTCTTTCACGAAGAGTTCGAGGACGTTTGCGCCCTCGCACGCGGGAGCGGCTCCTCGCCCTCAAGGCTCGCTGCCTAGGGCTGTGTCGCCAGAAGACGTACACTAACGTTTAACGCCTACGGGCTGCCTGGAAGTCCGGGAAGGTCATCTCGGACCCTGAGGCGGTGTACCTTCGCATCAAGAACAAGCACTTGATGTTTGGTGAGAGCCGTGAGGAGCGAGAGGTGAGGGTGGATGGTGAGCACCAGGCCTTCACGAAGGGGAAGCTCACGGGTCACCAATTTGAGCCTCTTTTCGAGGCTTCCATAGCCGATTTTGAGGAAGTCGTCTTAGGCAAGACGCCTCGAGAACTTTACCTGTCGTATAGTAGTAGCAGTAGCAGTAG